AGCTTGCAGCCTATCAGGTATTAGCTACGAAATGTTTAAACATGCAGGCCCTATATTTATTATCTCAATAACTATACTTTTTAACTGCTGTCTCTTTCTTAAACCATTTCTAAATATTAGAAAGAAGGCCACATCTTTCCTATCTCCAAAAAACCTATTTTTGATAACAACCTTTGCAATGCCAGACCTATTAGCTTGATTGAATATATAAAAAAGTTATATACTAAACTTCTCACTAACCACTTCAATCTCACCTTTTTCCAACATAATATCTTGTCATCCTTTAACTTTGTTACACTTCCTGGCAACTCAACTTCTATCTCTATTCACATCTTTAACAATATTATTGAGAATGCTAACTGTAATTCTAACCAACTTTGGCTCCTTTCTCAAGTTATGAGTAAGGTATATGACTCTGTAAACTTTAAACTTTTCTAAAAATCACTACATAATATTCAAATACCTTAGCAACTTATTAACATTTTAACTAACTTACTATTCAACCATACTAATTATATTATTACAAATCTAGGACTTACCAATTTTTACTCTGTTAAAAATGATATTGACCAAGAAGAAACAATTACACCCCTTTTCTAGAGAATCTATTATAACCCTCTTATCTCATATATCTCCTCGCATTTTTCAGGCTATACACTTTTTACTTCCTGGCAAACTAGTCTTATTAATCCTTCTTCCAACCACCTTAGTACCTTCATATCTGTTCTTGCCTATATAGATGACACTCTATAAATTGCCCAATCCAAATTACAACTAGAAGAAATTACTAGTATTACTTCTTCCTTCTATTTAATAGCTGATATTCAAGTCAACCCCACCAAATCTATATTTATTACTAAACAAAGCTCTGATAATATTACATTTCTCAACTCTACTCTTCATTTTATTTTACTTCAGCAACCTTTTAAATTCTTGAGTTGCTGGTTTACTCTCAACAACAAACAAACTTTACAAATTAAACTTATCTAGGATAAAGCTATTCAACTTGCTAATATTGCTTGTATCAAAAATATAATCGACAAACAAATAATCTATATTATTAATACCATTATTATTCCAACTATCAAATATCAACTTCACAATATCATAATTTCTCTATTTACATGCAACAAAATTCTTGAAAAATATCTTACTATAGCTAAGCACAAAGCACACCTTTCTTACTCTACCCCAACAGTACTCTTCTTAATCACAACCTCTATAATATCTACAATATTTAGGATATTTAACTTCAACATCATATTAGTAACTTTCTAAACTAAATTAATAACTCTTCAACCCTTGGTACCACTACTCATATTTACTTTTAACAACTACATGACAATCTTTGGTCTACTACTAATATTCTTCAACACTCTTATTTTATTATTGATAGTCTCAATAAGTATTTCACTACATTTAAAATTATACAACTTTTCAACCATCTCCAGATCTCAATGCATACATTTTCCAACTCATCCTGGTCCAAAACTATAAACAACAATAATACTCCTCTTGAAAATATTCTATCAAACTACCCCAAATACACTTTTAAGCAATAACTCTAATACAAAAACATACTATATCTCAAGCAACTTTGCTTATTAGATAACAATACCTTTATTGATTGGTCATATCTATTTCTCAGACTCCTACATATTTCAACTAGCAAAAAACCACTTTGGTTTACTTATCTAGAAAATACTATTCTTGAGAATAACTATCATTACACTATTTTACCCCATCTTCAACCAACAGATATTAACTGATTTGCCTACCAAACCAACACTCTTTTTAAATCTTACAAACCCTGGGTTTTAACTTTTCACAATAAAGATATTATTATTAGACAAATTCATAAAACTTTTACTCACACTAACTCTATATCCATTACACACTGGCAACATAATATTGACACCTCTACTCCCTATTGTTATTCTCTACCTCCTATCTTCTGCACCCTCTGTGAAGGTTGCAATCTTAATTCAAATTACATATCTAGCTACTATACTCTAGAAGTATCTGCTATTCTTTTTACCCATTTCTTGGGAAGGAAAAAAGCTAACAAACAACTCAATTTCAATGCCAACTACATTAATCTATAATAATCAAGGAGTAATCTATAAATCTCTTTGTAATTATTGGGATAATTTAGGAGATAGTAGGCTAATTGCTATTTTGCTTGATCCACAATTGAAGTTAATAAAGCATGGTCAAATATAACAAGAGATGATACAATTAAGTTGGTACATACTGAATTTAAGATTTTACAGTTCAATAAAGTAGCTAAATCTATAGAAGTATCACATTTTCTATCAATACTTCTTTTATATAAAGAGTTCTTAATAAAAATCAATGCCAAAATAATCAAGAAATTGAAATTGACAATTATTTGAAAGAATCTGTTACCCCAGTTTAAAATATAGATTATGATATTTATAGTTGGTAGATACTAATAAAGACTCATTTCCCATTTTAAGCAAAATTGCATATAAGTATTTGTCAATTCCTGCAACCTCTGTTCTGAGTGTACACCTTTTTTTGGATGCAGAAAATAATATTACTTCTAAAAGAAGTTAGCTATTGCCTAAAATAGTTAGTAAATTATTATTTGTTAAATGAAATAGTAACTACTGTAATGTTTGGATTTGATAAATATAGTAGAATACATATTATATAAATTATTAGAATTTTTTGATAGAACATTTGAGCTAAAATAAAAAAAAATTTGTATCTATTAATACAATCATTTATATTTATTATTTGTTAACTATTCATATTAAAATAAATTATACAGTTTTTATATTATCTTAATTTTTGGGTTTTTTCTAAATTCAAAAAACTATTAAAATGTATTCAACTTAATATTAGCCAGAAAAATCTAGTAAGCTAACTTTTATAATAGCTTAAAGCTTTGACCTACTGGATTCACAATCTATATTTCATAATAGTCTAAATATTAGTTCTATATCTTAAACCCTCTTTTATCTAATTAAATCTTGAATCTTTTTTGTTCTACATGGATTTAAAAAGTTATAGTACCCAGATATTAACTTAGACACAACAGGTAATTTTTGTACCTGGGTAAACCTATTGATTAACTCAGGTTACTCGCAGGTCACTCATTGGGTAACCCAGATTGTACTTTTTGAGAAGGGTTGAGACACTACAAAAGAGAGACTAATAAAGCAAAGATATTATTAAAGAAGCTACAAAATTTTCTTCTTATATTCAAAGGATTTAATATACCAAACCAACTATTTAGCTATAATTCAGATAGTCAAGCTAATTAATAAAGATTTTAAATTTGTAGTAAATAGTTTAAAGTCTTGAAATTTATAGAATAAATTATTTTAAAATGGTCAAAATATTATAGTATAGATTTTTAATATTAGTTTTTTAAGTATATAAATATTAGTATAATTATTTTTATTATCTTACTTCATTTTATTATTGTTATTCCTTAACTATATTTAGTATTAGTATTATTTATATTATTATTCAAAAGAGAAAACTTGTAAAAGTATTGTGATTCTTCAAAAAATACCACCCTCGAAAGAGGCGTGGATTTGGCTGTTAAACGGTTTATTACTAACTTGAGATATCTGAACCCTCTTTTACATTAGAGTAAATGCTACCTTTATATACTATTTGTTTATATGCTAAATATACTAATTATACCATATATTCTAAATATAATATATATGCTATATGTCATAAATATCTCAAATATTCTAAATATCCTGAATGTTCCAAATATCCCAAATATCCCGATTGTTCTAAATATTCTAAATCTACTAATTCTATCAGGTGGCAAACCTAAACAAATAGGCAATCGATCACCCAATTCAGTCATTTTATATCAAAGATCGATTTGCAATTGTGACATTTTCCTCCACCTTTCATTCCACAAACAACCTTAAACCTCCGGGATCAAATAGAGTATTTCATCATCATACGTTTAATTGAGATTATTTACATCATCAGATATTTGATAATTACTAAATGCCTTCTGTTCGTCTACTTCCAATTTCATCCTGTTTTGACAACAGGACCAAGCTTATATGTTCCTGTTTTATGTTTGCTCTTTTTATCTTTGCTTTCATATTCATAACAACATCCAAGGTTATGTCATCCATCTGGATTGCTACCTTCAGTAAAGCTTAAATGTCTTTCGAATATTTTTTTTTTTCTGTCTTTAACAGTTATTTTATTTCTAATTCCATTTTCCAGCATAACAATTTTTCCCTTCTTGATAATTCATTCCACGAATTTAGATAAGTTTTCCAATTTTATTTTTGCCATCATTGTCACTACTGTGTTAGTCAATTTTCACTGATCACCAAATTTATTTGATTTTCCTCTAGGATTGAATATTTTATCAGAGCGTGCCAGTTTATTAAAATCTTGCAACTTGTCACTTTGATAATAAATCGATGCTATATGCTCATCTTTTTCAAGTCCAATGTCATGTTGGTAACAGTGTCTATCGTTATATAATCCGTTAGTATTATCTGAATAAGCAGTTTTTTGATAATAGGTAAATGTCTTTTGTTTATCGTCTTTAATTCCAATTTCATTCTGGTAACAGTTTCCAGGAATGATATCCACCTTAGCAGGTGATCAAAGTTTGCTGTAATCATTTAGATATGTGTTCTTTTTTTTTATTTTGCTTATGTTATTCTTGATCATCTTTTAAATTTATCTACTTTTTCATCCAAAAGTTACAAGCATGATTCAAGTCAACAGACTCTTGGTAATAACTGAATGCCCTTCTTTTATCCGTTTCAAATCTATTTGACTTACTAACCATGTTCTTCAATTTGTCTACTTTTTTATCTAGATTTTATATTTGTCTTTAAGCTTTCTATTAGTAGGTATCTCGTTCATGTTGTCAATTTTAGTTAGTACTTCATCATCACTAATGCATTTTTACACTTTATTCATTTTTCTGTTTTCTTCAACAATTGTCTTATCATTATTCTCAGCTTTGCTAGCATTTAGTCTAATGCTATTATCATATCGTTTTCGTCAGCTTTGTTGTTGCTGGTGTCTTTATCAGTATCATCATCATATTCAAAATTTCCAACATTATCTGAGTAGGTTCTATATTCAGTCTTTTCTACTTTATTCTCGCTTCCATGATAACTGGCGTGAAATATTTCCTCAGAATCATTTATCTCAGCAATTTTTTATAATAATTAAGTTCTTTATATTCATCCTTTTCAGCTCTGACTCCATGTTAATGACCATATCCAAGGTTGTTTGTCACATTAACTTGTTTTATATCTTCCAATTTTTGATAATTAATGAACACTTTATATTCATCTACTTCGATTCTAATGCCTTTTTCATCGCAGAATCTATAAATATTTGTTTCAACACCGTATTTCATTTCATCAAACTCTTGGTAAGTAATAGGCTTCTGATGATTATACTTTTCAACATCTTTATCATTGTAATCATCATCCCTCTTTTTATGAGCAGTCTTCTTATTGTCAGTTTTCTCATTATTTTCATCATCTGTTTCAGCATCTCTTTTATTATCAATTTTGAAATCTTTTAATCAATCAAGATAAACTTTATATTCATTATCCATTTCAATTCTATTTCCATATTCGTAGCAATGTCTAATGCCATGTGTTATGTCAGAATCATTCATATCAACAGATTTTTGATAATAAGTAAATGCTTTATGTTCAACATTTTCAATTCTGATTCTGTTTTGATGTAAGTAAATAATCAGCTTTGCTATTTCTATTTCTTCTTTGTCGCTTGTAAAATCTTCTAAAATTTCCAACATTAATTTCAGGGCTTGCAAGAGTTGTATATCATCAATCAGCTGTCTTTCAAGGACTTGATCAACTATATCCCGAACTTCATCAAATTTATTCAGAGTAAGAGCTTGTTATATTTGAGTTTCAATTGTCTTATGTATTTGTTTGCTTTATTAATTTGAGTCTTCATCCCTCCTTTTCAACTCCTGTATAAGTCTTTATGTACGACGTCAATTTCCTTCTGATGGTTTTTCTTACTTAATTTGGGGCTTCAGATTCTTCTTTCTGCATTCTGACTTTTTCTTGTTCGAGCTTTAATATGTCTTGATTTTCATATATATGTTTCTTGGTAAATTTTATACATTTTTTTTTTATAATTATAATTGTATAAAAAATTAGAAAAGTTCTTTATATCAAAATTTTTTTTTTTTTGTTAGATCCAATGGTTCTTCAGGCGATTATTGATTCAAAAGTTTATGTGTCAATCTTTATACATAAGTCTGTCACTTAGACTTATAACATATATGTTCAATCTCTTTGTTGTTTAAATGTTGCTTCATCACTATAACTATATATTTTGCACTTGTTTGTAGATCTCTGTAACTTATACTTTGTCACCTTTAGTTTCTACTATAGTTATTCATCAATCCTTTCGGTTACATTCTTCCAAGCTTTTGTATTACGCTTGAGTTATGTAATTGATGGTTTGTCTACTTAAGCACTTTGTTGCTTAAAAAAAATGTTGCTAACCCAGGTTTTTTGATATGTCAGTTTTCAAAAAAAATTCCACTAATCGTCTTAAAAAAAAAAAAAATTTAAAGTTCTATTTCCAAAAAAAACTTCTGTAAAGCGAATTGTTTTAATTTTTTCATTTATACTTCGGCTTTGTTTTTCTTTTTGCCTCATGCTGTAGCTGTGCCATGTTACATCAGGGAAGTATATATATATAAGAAAAATATGCGACTTTATCTGACAAACTCATATGATCATGGCACAGTTTTTGCATGTTATTTTTTAACATATTATGACATAATGCCAAATATTCGAATTTTACACGAATATCAAAATTCTTGGGTCAACGTTATTCAGCAAAAAAACAGTATTTGGGTCAAAATTATTTAAAATTCTCTTAATTCGGGCAACAATACTATGCATACAAACAATT